CGAGGTGCTTTTTATTATTTTACATTGATCAGCATCATGACCAATATTGTTATGTGAAAAAACATCGTTTACAGGCAAAGCGATGAATCAGTCAGTGACGTAGTTTAAAGTATTAAAGTGCATTATTTATCAGCCTGAAATTATTTATATTGAGTGACGCTGCAGGTGGTTTATTGAAACTCACAGAAGTCATCTGCGTAGCAAACCTTCTGCCAAGGCTACTCGTCGTCGGCAAGAAAGCAACTGCTCTACGGGCACTTAGCGTTCGAAAATCAGAATATAATGTGCAATTTTACGGCGAAAATGGGTCGATCCTTTCAAGTATCTAGGGGTAATGCTGACTAACGATTATGGCTGTAATCCTCAGGTGAACAGGGCGATTAATTTGGTATTAGCAAATTTTTTAAGCCTTATCAAATTTGGAATGATCAGTCGCTGTGAATAGAAAATCATCTTGGTGACAGCAATTTTTGTGAGGCTCATATGTGGTCAGGTAACATCTGCTATACCGAAAATTTGTAAAGTTCATTTTGACTGCTTATAAATGTGCAGTCTACGAAATTACTTCACTGTTCCATGGCATAGTCGTTTTATCTGCTAGTAGGTGGCAGCAGCCAGCGTTTTGCCAAAACCGTCAGCAGAATCCTGATATCTGCTTTCGATAAAACGGATCAGAATAAAGATGGAATTTTATTCAAAACTTTTCTTTCACGCAAAGCATTTACAAGCATTAGAAGACAATATCAGACTTGGAAGCAGCTCCTTATGGCAGATCCGCTCTCAGCCAAGAATAATACTTTTGCCCTAGCAGCGAACAACGTTTGGTATTTAGTATGGACATCATTTTTAGAGCAGTCAGACTATCAAGCAGGGCAACTGCATTTTTCGGCTTTTCGTAAGGTTATCGACAGAAATTGGTCTGCCCCCTGACCTCGCATTGCATAACATAGAAAACCTGTCTTGGCAGTCGTTTTTGTGTTGTTTTGGCCACATGCTCAAATCATCACAGCTGTGACTTCTCGATTTCAAAAATGAATCATGTACAGACGAGGGTATCTTAAATTATCGTGTGCCTCTGCTTATCGACCCTCATCACATTAGCTGTCATTCAAAGAAACCTGATATCTGCCACTTGTATTGGTCATCACGGTCTTTAGATTAGTACCAAGCATTTATGGTTATAGGTGAGAATTGTAATTCTTTACTATGGTATGCAGATTTATGAACATAATCCCATATTGTTCTTCTCCTTTTGCACTATCGCACACTGCGTTGCATTCGTTTACGTGATTCATGTGTCCCCTTAAAGTTCTTGTCTAGCGGCACGCAAGAATGCTACCCAAGTTGCAATAACTATTCCAAATTTCTCATTGGCGATAGTTATAGGTTTCTTTGAATCCCAGAATTAACCTTTTGTAAACGCTGGATGTATTCCATTCCGAAACATACGTTTCTAAAAATGGATACCTGAAGCCTGGGCTCCCTGTTTGTGCATAAAATTCCAGCGACAGTTCCTAAGTATTAAATAAATAGATTTTAGCCAGCAGTGCCAAACTGAGTAGCCGAACTCAATTCGGCATGTAAAGTTCAACTCGCTGCAGGAGTCATCAAAATTGTGCAACCTCGATTAGGTACAGTTCCAACAAACAGAGGATTGAAACTACGTGCAGCTGCGAAACACGGATTAAAACCGTTCTCTGTTAGCGCACCAGTATATTCATTCTTTTCTCCGGAATCATCCAATCGCTCGTTGCCATGGACATCGAACTCTATGTGTTCTTTGCTCAGTGGCTAAGGAACAGAATTATCGTTAAAGTAAAAAATTTTTTGAGTAGGAAGGGGCTGCGTTTCAGGTACGTTAAATCATATATTCTATGAAACTGTTTTTCATTAACTCAGATGTATATTATTGTGCTTTTTTCAGATTTGGCGAATGCTATTTATGAACGGATCAGACAAGAGCAGCATAATATGGCCCGTAATTATGAGCTGATGCACGCTGATCCGCTAAATCCTGAAACGCAGCGTCTCATAGAAGAGAAGATTAT